ATCGGAGAAAATCCCTAAAAAAGTGTGGATGATCCATAAAAAATATCAATATAATCAATATTTTATGTGAAATTTAGCAACACAATTGTAAAAATGTACCACTAAATTTCTAAATAATGAGCATTGGAATTGTACGAATTACCCATAAACATATTGCAATTGATCCATAAAACATTCAGCAATGAACCTTAAACTAAAGAAAGTGATCCATAAAAAATCAAGTTTGCTCACTTAAAAATATAGGCATGATCCATAAATTAGACGTATGTTATTCATGTTTAGGACACTATTTTTTTAAATTTTGATCCATAAACCTTGAAAAATTGCTCCACTGCTTATCTACTTAGATTTACTGTCCTGCCCGTGTATTTAAGGTAGATGTGCGAAGCGATGGGCAAGCGTCTAGAATTAGCTTCCAAACGAAGATTCTATAATAATATTCTTAAGACGTTTCCTATGGAAGCTTCATTTAGAAACTTTTTAAGAAGCTTATTCTAGACGCTCGCCCAACGTTCTGCTCTCCTGACAAAAAAAACACGGGCAGAACAGTAAATCTGAGTAGCTACGCAGTAATGTAGCAATTTTCCAAGGTTTATTGACCAAATTAAAAAACATATGTATATAGACCGAGATATAAACTATAATTGGAACACACCAAAATAAGCACGTCTACCAACAACTGGAACACCTACCCTAGGTATGATCCATAAAATTAACATTTTTTTTCATTTTTTCTTAAGAAGATTATTACAGAAGCTTCTTTTGGAAGCTAATTCTAGACGCTTGACCATCGCTCCGCACATCTACCTAAAAACACAACAGGACAGTAAATCTAAGTAGTTAAGCAGTAATGGAGCAATTTTTCATGGTTTATGGATCAAAATTAATAATACAGTGTCCAAAACTGAATAAATAATATACGTCTAATTTATGGATCATGGCTGTTCGGAATATCGGAATAACCCTGTACCGCCAAGTCCAGTGACAACCCTGTGGGGGATTCAGAGAGCTACGGTAACGGTCGCTGTCAGAAATGACAGACGTCAGGTTTGGTTCAACGGAACTGTGAACTCACAGTTCCGTTGAAACAAACCTTAGATAGGTCGGAGTATGAACGAGAAAAAAAGAGGAAAAGAAGATATAATTCCAAACCATGTAAAAAACGTTTTACAGCTAAATTATTTTAATTGCCTAAATTTGTTAATATACCTATCGTTTAATTAAATTGTAGTTATTTGTAGTGAACTAGCTACCAACAATCAATACGAAACTAACGATTTTAAATTGGCTCACTACTTGACTTGCCTATTGGTCCCAAGCAAATCGATTAACGTACCTCATTCTAGTCAAAATTATAGTACTACACAATGTTTGTTTTGATTCGCTATGAAAGTTTGACAGGTAAAATGAGGGGTTCGTGGATTTTCTCGTGTTTTATAGGGGTGCATCGATAAGCTTGGGACCGAAGATAGTACCAGAGCTTAGCCAAAAAGTTGAGCACATTTCTTCGGGACCTTCTGGTCTTAAAGTTACCTCTATGCAGCTACTGAAGTAGGTTAGTTGGAGGTGGAATGCGTGCAAATATTGAATTTAATAACCCTATATTTGCTTAATCTAGATACTACAGTTTGATCCTAAAATCTGGTAACCTACAATTTGTTCCTAAACGCTATATACATGATTTACCCTAAGTAACTAGTAAGTAGCTCATTCTACATCGTTTGCGTGCTTAACTAAAATAATAATTGAATCCCTAAATGCTAAATCTAGCCAAATCTTTGTTGAAAGAGTGACGGAAGATAACTCTCGGTTTGAAAATCTCCCGCTCAGCCTCCTATCGCTTTTCATGGAGGAATTTCTCTTCCTCCAGCGATTTCTTATTTGCGCTTTTCTCCTGCAGCAATTGGTCTAGGGATTCTTCCAGGCTGACCACATTGGTACTACCTTTTCCAGATTCGGTTGCGGCATCACTCCTCACTCTATTATTTCTGCTAGGTGGTTTATTTGAGACAGACTTCTTGGTTTCTTTTGCCACCTTATAAGCATTAAGATTGGTTTTGATTTTATATTAGTTTAATAAAACCTATTTCAGCTTCAAACTGTCCAAAACGAGACTGCTATGAGGAAGTTGCTTTCATTAATACGAACATGGTTATATTTTTAAGTGCGCAAACATGATTTTCTATGGATCACTTTCTTTAGTTTACGGTTCACTGCTGAATGTATTATGGATCAATTGCAATATGTTTATGGGTAATTCGTACAATTTCAATGCTCATTCCTTAGAAATTTAGCGGTACATTTTTACAATTGTGTTGCTAAATTTTACATTAAATATGGATCATATTGATATTTTTATGGATCATTCACACTTTTTTAAGGATTTTCTCCGAAGTTTTATGGATCATTTGGATGTTTTTTATGGAACGTTTTCCAATATTTTATGGATCATTTATTGGTTTTTATGTTCAAAAGTATGTTTGCCATTGGTGCGATATCCTACGCAGGTGTGGAAGCTGCCTTCCAGCACATTCGATTGCCGTTAAAGGATGGCAATCGATGTCCGTCGGTGATTGGCACTCCGCAATATAGTCAGAGACCAACATTAAATAATGGAAAGTGATAAACATTTTGTCCAATTTGGTGCTATCACTTACAACATAGCATACGATCTTAATTATAAATGTAAACAATTTCCGTAAAATGTGGTATCTTTGATAATGCGGGTAACTTTGATACTCTATGCACTATTTTCCAATTGGAAACATTGGTTCCTTACTGTAGCTGTAGGTATTTCCCTTGATATCGTATACAGTTTTTATGTAATGTATAGTACATGTTTTCCAAACATAGTAAAAAACAATTTTCTTGTCTTTTGCCTGTTTGAAAAGGCACCCCTTTTGAAATGTATTTATGATATAGCTAACACAAATTCTATGTTGTATTTTTATTGCTTATGATGTTTTCTGAAAATATACTCATTGAAAGTGATATAACAATAAATAATATTCTGTTTGATGGTCAAACATGATATTAATAATGTTCTTGAATCTCTGACAACTTCTATAATTGTAAAAATGCAGCTCCAGTACCAATATGTGAGGTTAAATTCAATTCAATTATAATAGACAACGATCTTGAGCTCTTGATTTGACTGAAAAAATGTCCGAAGGCGGCAATATTAAAGAACACTCGATCCTGCCTTTACCTGATTGGATTTACAAAAACAAATTAAATTGCGATTCTCTGTCCTGAGGAACAAAATTTTTGAAAATATTTTTTTTTTATTAGACTTGAATTCCAAAACCTTTTGAAAATCCACAAACATTTTGAAAAAAATAACCTCAAAAGCCTAAAGGGAAGTTCACCGCTTTTAAAAAAAATAATTACGTTTCAATTTTTCTAAAAATGTTGGAAAAAAAAATTAAAAAAAAACTTAAAAAATGACAGGAGCACATATCGTGGTGGGGGTAAACAATAGTTGCAATTTCCAAACCTACGACTGTATGCCTTCCTTCAAATAACAACTGTAGTGCGGTAAAAAATCGGTAGAACTGTTTCAAACACGCAGTTGGTACTTGAGCGGGCGGTTTTCATCTCTTTTTGCCAGTGGTGGCGGGGTGGGGGGGACACCCCTCACCATCCCTCTCCAAAGGGGGAGTTTGGTAAAGAAAGATGAAAAAACCGATTTGTACCTTCCTTAAAAGTTGTCCTAGCTCGCTTATCTAATATCTATATACAATCTTCACACTGCCGGTCTCTAACGGAACTATCAACTCTATGCTTTCATCTACTCCATCTATCGTATAAAAATTACCACTACAGTCTGTTATTTGAAATAAGCATCTTCAACTACACATTTTTATATATTTAAAAAAAAATCAAGTGCAAAAGATTTTTTTTTTTGTAAGTCATCATGGCATTAAGTTGGACCCAAAAAACCTTAAAAAATAGACCTTTCGGTTTCGCTGAGAGTCCATTTTTTTGTCATTATGAGATAGAAAAAAAATATGTTTACATGTTCTACAGAATCTAAGGAAAAACTGGTTTTCTTGGATTATTGATTATTTTTCTCATTAATTTTAGAAAAATAAAAACGCGCCGAAAAATAAAATTCATTTTTGGGGTGGTAAACTTTGCACAATTTTCACACAAATTCTAAAAATGCTAATAAAATTGCTAAGAAATTCGATATTCATCCATCAAAAAGCGTTATTGGCTCCAATTATGTAACCTTAACTAACCACGAAAAGTACTAAAACTAAACTTCAGTAGTACATAGATAGTCATCTCATAACAAGGAGCACTACTAGGCAAACTAAACTGATCTAGAAAAATAAATGAACTTAACCTCCGTTGTAGCAGCTGAACATGCTATAATTAGTTCGATTTCTTCGAAAAGGACGATGTCAAAAATAATGTTGTCAATATCACGTCAATATAAGTCCTTCAATGACAAATCTCAGTACAGGCTGAAACAAACCACAACGTCTGAATACGAGCTCTACGGTAAGCATACGAGTCTACGCCTTCAAGTAGACAACCCGCTCGCTTCGATTATGGCACACTACGAGAAATATCAACGATGTTTTCAATTGCGCTTATCATTGGGCAGTCAAACCTAGATGAGATGACAATTTAAACGGATGATTAGCAAAATCTTTGATATGACGTAGCTTTTGCATTTCATTAGAATTAATTACCGTTGCATCAACGTCTTATACCATCACAGTTAAAGCACTCGAAATGAACCGAGTGAAGATGAACAACAGCCGATTGCCGGTTAGCCCAAGCCTATAAACAAAACAACCGCTGGGCCTTGAACTTGTACGCGGTCGCGAAAAATGCTTGAAAGCGGAATCACATACATACTTGCAAGCCTATGGCGATCGATGAACTTCGGACGCTTCGTGCTTCATTAGCGCCAATGGAGGTTGTGTTGGTAAGGCCATAAGTAGTACTTGTTGCATTATCATCTCTCTTTGCAGTTCTCATTCAGCTTGTTGTTCTACGATTGAACAGTGCAGTTTTGACGAATGTTGAATCAACTTGAGTGCGTGATGATATAAACTGTTTACTCGTGATCCGTGTGATAAGCGGTTATTTTCCGTCGGTAGAATAACTTTCTAGTGGCTTGTTAAAACAGAATTTCGCTTGTTAGATTCCACTTAAGTGAAGACTATCATCAAGTGCGCACTAATTTACTCAATTGAGCAACGACTATGTGGATTTACCTGTTTATAACAGTAATCACGCTCTTAATTCTGCTGGTGCGAAGGAAGTATTCATTCTGGGAGCAGCATGGAGTGCCCTACATCAAACCATTGTTCCCGTTTGGGAACATACGACCCGCCGGAAAACGTGTTCACTCGTCCCAGCTGATGACCCGCTTCTACCGAGAAATGAAAGGAAAGCATCCCTTCGGAGGAATCTACTTTTTCACCAACCCGGTTGCCCTGGCGCTGGATCTGGATATGATCAAAGACGTCCTGGTGCGAGACTTCCAGTATTTTCATGATCGTGGCATGTACTTCAACGAAAAAGATGATCCCATTTCCGGTCACCTGTTCAACATCGAAGGATCCCAGTGGACTAGCCTGCGGAAGAAATTATTGCCAACTTTCTCCTCGGGGAAGCTAAAGATGATGTGTCCTACCATTATAACCGTGGCGGAACGGTTTCGGGAGTGTATGGAAAAGTGTTCCGCCGAAGATCCGGAAGTCGAAATGAAGGATCTGCTCGCTCGTTTCACCACCGATGTGATCGGAACATGCGCCTTCGGGATCGATTGCAACAGTTTGGCCGACCCGGAGGTCGAGTTTCGAAAAATGGGCAATAAGATGTTTGAAATCCCACCCCTGAGGATATTCAAGTTCTTCTTTATATCCACGTTCCAAAATCTAGCTAGAAAAGCCCATGTGAAATCCGTGCCAGAGGATGTTTCAGCATTTTTCTTCAACGTCGTTCGCGAAACGATTGCCTACCGCGAAAAGAGCCATGTTCAGAGAAACGATTTTATGAACCTGTTGATGCAGTTGAAGGAGAAAGGTGAACTCGAGGGATCGGAGGAAAAGGTCGGGACGCTGACTCTTAACGAAGTAGTAGCACAAGCGTTTGTGTTTTTCTTAGGTGGTTTCGAAACGTCCAGTACAACGATGTCGTACTGTTTGTACGAGTTATCTCTGAACGACGACATCCAAGAACGTGCCCGAGAGAGCGTTCAACTTGCTGTCACAAAACACGGTGGCTTCAATTACGACGCCGTGATGGATATGCACTATCTGGAGCAGTGTATTAACGGTAGGTTGTTGATCGCTGTATAATTAGACACATAATTGTTGACACATTATTCTTGGCTTCGCAGAATCATTAAGAAAATATCCACCGGGAGCAAACTTGGTGCGCTGCGTCACCAAAGATTACCAAGTGCGCAATTCCAGCGTGGTCTTCAAGAAGGGTATGGGTATCATGGTTCCAGTGTACGCCATCCATCACGATGCGGAGTTCTATCCGGATCCGGAACGGTACGATCCGGACCGGTTCAGTCCGGAGGAAGCGGCCAAGCGGATACCGTTCACATTTATGCCGTTCGGAGAGGGACCACGAATCTGTATAGCGGCGCGGTTCGGAATGATGGAATCCAAAATTGGACTGGCTGCGCTGTTGATGAATTTTAGATTTTCGCGGAGTTCCAAGACGGTCGTTCCGTTGGTGATCTCACCTCGACATGCGGTGTTGACTCCTGCCGGGGGATTGTGGTTAAAGGTTGAAAAACTTTGTCGGTAGTTGGCGAAAGGATTTCAGTGGCAATTCAAATCCGATTGCAGAGCTTGTTATGAGTTCTTTCAAGAATGTGATTTTTAATTATTTCAAAACTAGTATCTAGGGTATAGAACTACTTCGGCATAAGCGGTCAATTCCGTCATATCGAGCGGATGGTACAAATATGGCTTCGACGTGAACAAACCAATCATACGTTTGGTACGATAGTTTGGTTCAATAGCTACCATACAATGTCTATAAGAAAGTATAATACACTGAAGTATTTTTTAACCGGTTTTTACGTAGTTTTTTACGCGATTTTTTTGTACGCTGTTTGCCCCGCTTAGTCGTAAATTATACGGTAGGGTAGGGTAGAAGTAACCTACTATCAATTATTTTTCTACAATGGCATTTTTATTTAAAAAATACGACAACACTAAAATGTTAGTTTTTCAATTGGGCAAGGCATCCCCATCTTTAAAGTAAAAATGCTTCCACAACAAATAAACTGTACGCTCTATTATAAACGGATAGTACATCATTCTACACAGATATGACATGCCCCAGAGCAGGGCCGTCCAAAGCCACTTTCAATCGAAAATCGTCAAGCGACGATGAAGCCGTCAACCATCACTTCCAGTTGAAAGTCATTCTGTCTTCTCTTCTAACATGTATAACATAAAGCATAGTCCACTTAATGGAACATCATTTGGGTCTATTTTGGATTTGAATTAACGGATTTTAAAACGGTGACACTCAAGTGCATACTATTTATTCCTTATATTTTAAGAAAAAAATACGGAACGAATTATTCGGCGCGGTTTCAAATGAATTCTCTTTATTTTTTCCCTTACCCATCAAGCGGCGCCCAATGGTCCAGAACGTGTTTTCATTTCCATTTTGATTACTTGGACTGGCACAACTCAAAGTAATTTTGCCAGTTCATCTTTGATCTGATCCAGGGGTTCTCCACTGGGCAGACATTTGTAACTTATGAAGACTTCCCACCGTATTTGGCGCGGACGTCTTCACTAGCCAGCCGAGCTAGCTTAACTCTAATTTTCAGGGTCGGCAAACCGCACTAGAAGAAACTCACCTGAATACAACCAACGACAAAATCCCAACCTGAAACTTTTCTTTCGGTGCATGCAGAATTTAGAACACAAGCGTTACGTTAAGAACACCAAGCCAAAAAATATATTCATAGGACATTCAATCAAACTTTGGAGCACTTTTTTTTTATTTTAGGAAAAGGAAAATGTTCTAAGGGTTTGACTCACTGTCTGATGTCTGCTGATGCTTGCCTCGCTGATACCGCCGCCGCTGCTGCCGTTGGATGCCACGTGTTTCCTCGTCGCTGGATCGCTTCACCCTTAGCAGGGCCGATGCTGATACCGTTCCGATACAAAACGTGTGTTGACGTACGACCGGTTCAGCGCATCTGGGAAGCGGTTCACTGTGCACAATCTTCACACACTTCGAGAGGAATTCAACCTAACTCACACCGCGACCCCTTGTCTCACCGGTTTTAAACTTCACGGACAGTTCTTCAGGGTGTCGACTTAAATTACACAAACCGGAAGACGACCTCTCGGAATATTAACTGGCCTCTACGTCAGTGATAAGGAGGTCCAGTTTACCACTACGTGGCCACTAAAGCGCGCACTACCGTGTATTGTTCTTCGCGAGTTAGGTTTCACTTGGAGCTAAGCTCCTTTAACGTTTTTTTATTGAGACTCAACCGGCAAGAGTACTTATTACTGACTGTCCTTTAACTTCTCTAACACCGGTAGAATAACGGTTTTGAATCTCACTTGCTGAACTAACTTTCTAAAATGCACTAATCTTCTTCGCTTCCCAGGATACAAGAGACCTCTATTAAGGATCGGGGACCCTTATATAGAAGTGCCGGGTTTGAATTTAGGTAGCCAATTATCATAATACGATCATCAGCCCATCGATGACGATTGTATCACGTGATTTACGCGCCTTCGGGTTTTTCTCACTTCGTGCGAGTCGAGCAGTAGGTGGTAATCTTCGGTGTAGCAATGTTCGAGCAGTGGAGCCACCTGATTCCCTGCACTAGCTAGAATTTCAAAAACCCTATCTGCACAACTCCTACCTGACTCGAAGGGTTGTGAGTCGTCTCATTTGACGATACATTCAGTATTTTTATCGTGCTGCTCGTCTTTTGGAATGATTTTTTTATTTCCAAAATTAAGCATGACAACGGTTCACAACTTCCTCGGTCTATTTTATTAAAAAATGTTTTCTACTTTACGGCATTGGAGTTCATAAAATAGAAATAAATTTATTAGGTTTTAATTTATATAATTCAATAAATTCTTGCATGAAATTTATATTTAAATACAATGGTATTTGATAAGGCAAATCTGACACCAACATATAGTATATAAGGTTGAAACAGGTCGAAGGTTACACATTTCAAGACAACCTTGAACAGTAGCTCAGTTTTGGTGTCATAAATTAAAAAAAAAATGTGTGTTGCTTCTCAGTAAGATACTTGAGAAGACGTTTGAATCCGTCCAAGGTTTCAGCCAATACACGGCATTCACCTTGACGGTCAATTTGAAGTGAAAACTTGAATTTAGCGAAGTTTAAAAGTTCCGTGCAAAGAGCATGGAAATAGGAAGTGGTTATCACAATGGGGGGGGGGACCTTTTCTTAGCATGAAGCCGGGAAAGTTTACTAGAATTTTTCCTGGATGAAGAATCATTCTCATCATCATAAGTATAACAAATTGATTGCTCAAATTAATTTCATCAGAAGGAGGATCAAGCGATTGCCCTTTTCTTTTGCGATAAGGTGCCATGGCGGCAGTAAAACGTTTCTCCACATCGATTTACAAGCATATTACTATGAGAATCTGAAGGATCGAAGAGGATTTTTCCAAATCGATTTCCAGGCAGCACACCAAAAATTTGATTTTTACTGGCGATGTTAACATCCATGCATGCAAACATTCATACATGTCAACTTCCTTTTCACGTAAACTAGCAACTTGCAAGAAATGTTGCAAACAAAAGTGGACAGTTGCATACAATATATGGGATATTACATGACAAGTCTCATAAATTTACACGATCTATAATCTAAATTTGTATGATATATGACGCTCCATTTATGTGCATCATAGTAACGGAAATTTACACTACTTTTTTTTAGCTGTGAGGATTACCTCGGGTAGGGTCCAAACGAGGATCGAAGAGGAATAAGAGCCTAACCTGCTGGGTTCCCACGAAGGCCTCGAGCAAATTTCGGCGTGCTCTACCAGGTCTCATTCTTCGGAATCCGGATTACGGTTCTCCGGCACCGGTAGTAGAGCAATCTTTGCGGCGAGTCTGATGACGGCATCGGATGTTGTAGTTCTCAGGGTGACAACACGTACCACTCCGTCTTTGCCCGGATGTACATTGATGATCTTCCCGAGCGGCCATTGGATCGGTGGTAGGTTGTCGTCCTTAATCACCACGATTCGTTCAAGTTCAATGGTGACTGGTATCTTGCACTTCGTGGGCACCATCTGGACCAGATTCTCTGGAACCGATTCTGTGTGAGCTCCCAGTGGGTAAGAAGATTGTCCGTAATGTCACACAGATTATGTTCCGGGACGGCTTGGAAGCTGGTTCCGATCAGGAAGTGTCCAGGGATGAGGACTTCCATGTTTGATTGATCAGTTGGGATCGGAACTAGATGTCTGGAGTTCAAACACATCTCAATTTGGGTGAGAAGAGTGCACATTAGAGTGATGCAAAATTTGAAATTTTCGCTCCACAATACTTAAACGATTCCAAATCGGATCCTGATTAACATCTCAAAATTTGAACCCATTTGGTGAGAAACTGAGATGGCACAAACCATTTAAAGTTTGTTTGGGAATTACTATGGTAAACCAAGATTTTTGTTTATGTCTATCTAATAATTCACCATATCGATCTGCTTCAAAAGTTTTCAACTGTACTTATAGGAAATTTTTCCAGCTACAACTTTGCTCAAGACCACTTTTTGATTAAATGCAAGAATCGAAAGTTATCAATGGTTCAATGCACTGATGTCTTATAATCATGCTCAATCAACTGCTCAGCAGGCAACATTGGTGTTTCTGGGGCGTTGAATAGGACACACAAACCATGGCTACTATGTCACACTGCAAAATACAGTGTTGCCTACAGAGCAGCTGCTTGAACTTGTCATAAGTTTACCACTCTCTTAAAATAATTAATAACTTTTTCCTATCTCGTTTTACATAGAAACAATCTTGAGCAAAGTTGTAGCTAAGAAAATTTTCTATAAGAATGGTTATCGAACTGTTTCGCAGCTCAATATGGAAAAAGACTAGAAGGCAATGAACAAAAAGTTGAGATTTACCATAGTAATATACATGTAAACTTCAAATGGCTTGTGTGAAGTCTGTTTCTAACCAAATGAGTTGTAACTTTGAGAGGCTAATCAGGACCCGATTTGAAACCATTTAAGCACTGCAAATTTTGCATCAGTCTAGTGTACATGTCCTCGTAGCTCACGTTGACTGTGCCGATTTCACGTAACAAGTGGTTTTTGGCTGATTTGGCGGCTACCTCCCACAGACCGCCAAAGTGGGGTGCATGGGGCGCAATGAAACGCCAAATGATCTCGTTTGCAGCACACTAGTCGAGGATTTGCTTCCGATCAGCTTCATTGATCATCATCTCGTAGATTCTATGCAGCTCGTTAGCTGCACCCTTGAAAGCGGTGCCGTTGTCGCTGTAGATTTCGATCATCCTTCCACGGCGAGCGACGAAACGGTGGAGAGCGGCGAGGAAAGCCGGCGTAGACAGATCGGATACAAGCTCGATGTGAACGGCGAAGCACACAAATATGGCGATGTATGTCTTCGTTGGCGTCCGATTGCAGATCGGCGACTTGATGTACACGGGCCGCAGTAGTCGTTCCCGCATACGGCGAAGGGGCTTGTCGGAGTGACTCTTGATGTGGACAAATCGGCGATTCTCTGCTGCACCAGGACGGATTTGCTGCGGAAACACATGTGGCACTGGTGGTACGTATGCCGAACAAGGTTTTGGCTACCGATGATCCAGAATTTCTGGTGAATCGTTGCAAGAATGCAGCAGTGTCTTGTGGTAGTGATCGGCTAACAGATCGGATAGCAGATGCTTTGATGAGAGGACGATCGGGTGCGTTGTCGAGTCTTCCACCAACTCGGATCACACCTTCTTTGGTTATTCTTGGGATGAGCCACTTCAATGGCGAAGACGTTGGTACTCGTTCCCCATCAATACCGATTTTCGAGCTTGATACCGGTAAATAGATACGATTTTTCAGATAAATGATTTTTG